GCGCGTCTGACCCAGCCCCCGGGGGCCCGCGCTCGGGGCCGGGAAAGCGCCCTCGGCCCTCGGCGTGGCCGGCGCCCCGAGTCCCGCGTACCTGCGAGCGCCCCGCGGCAGGTCGGGCTCTCATCGCGGACTGGCGGTCACCTCCACCGGAGCCTGAGCTGGGTCTGCCACTTGTGGAGTCAGACCTGGGCTCCACCTCCACGCGCTGCCTCCTCCAGCCCCGTACTTTTGTCACAATACCTTGTGGTCTCCGTTACCTCTTGTGGAGAGGAGGCGATTCCGACCTTATCTCTACATCGAAGGAAGATCGGGTGGGTCGAATGGGACGTTGACCCTCATCCCAGGTTTATCTTATGGTTTCGCCTTGTGCTCGCTGAGCCCGGGGTGAGGGAGGACCGAGGGGATGCGGCCACGCAGCTGGACTACCTCGGCGGTAACTGGTTGTGGAAAGTGGCCTCTGGGCCTGAGTTCTTATCTCTGCGCTGGGAATGTTGACGAATAGGCTCACCTTCCTCAGGTTATACCGAACAAAGGATATCAGTAAGGTGTCATGCCAATGCTTTCCTGATTTCTGTTATTTTTGTGGGTTCCTCTGGCTAGGTAATCTTTTGTTTGTTTTTTGTTACCCTCACATGAGGATATTATTTCCATTGCTTTTCAGACAGAGTGGAAGGGGAGAGAGAGAGAAACATGGATATGAGAGAGACACACCAACTCCTTGCCTCCCACCGGAGCCCTTGACCCTGAATCGAACCTGGACACTTCTGAGGGCGGGGCCAACACTCTAACCACTGAGCGAACCGGCTAGGTAGTCAGTGACTGTGGATGGGTCCCACCCAGTATGTTGGCAGAAGTGATGCTCACTATTATAAGTGTAATTAACAATGCTAGCTATTCTTCCCTGACAGTTGACTTCAAATTAGGATCACCTACCCATGCAGTCTATTCTATATATCTGCCCAGTGAGCTCACATTTATTTGCAGACACAGTTAACAGGACCCCACCCCCCATTTCTCAATGTGGTTTTAATGAACATTTCTTTATTGGAAAACTTGAACATCTCATGTGTGTATTAACATTTTGTTGTTGGGGTTTTTATTCTATTAACATATTTTATCTTGTCTCCTCTCTGGACCTACCTCCTTCAAAATGATAATGGTTTGTAAGCAGTTAGAAGGTTTAGAAAACCCCCTAAGGCAAGTAAGCACCTCTTGATTGGTGTTCGCCTCCATACATCTTCCCTGCTTTGTTAGGTCTCTCACAGCGCTGGAGACTGGGAGCTCTCAGAAATCTGCAGACCCACCAAGAAGACCAAACGTTTGGAACAAGTGTCTTGGTGCACTGTAACTGCCATCTCCTACTTGAATCTCTTTGGTAAATTTACATGTTAGGACGGTCATATACCATATTCTTCTCAAATCAAGCTTAAGGGACAGAGTTAAAATAATAGGACAAGCCCAGGGCTTAAGCATCTGATGTGTTAGTTTACCAGCTGCCTTTGATTCCCCAGCTGTATCAAAAACACCTGAGGCATTGGTTGGAAGTGCTGATTCCCAGGCCCCACCCAGGCCATCTGGAGTGCCATTTCTAGGTGGGACCCAGAAATCTCTATTTTTCACAATCTCATCAGTTAATTTAAAAGCTTGTTTTTAAAAGTCTCTGGCCATAAATATACCTATGCCCAGAGGCTAGTTGTGAAATTTACATTTTAGAACAGGGGTCCTCAAACTACAGCCCGCGGGCCATATGCAAATACAAATATTGTATTTGTTCCCATTTTGTTTTTTTACTTCAAAATAAGATATGTGCAGTGTGCATAGGAATTTGTTCATAGGTTTTTTTTTTAACTATAGTTCGGCCCTCCAACGGTCTGAGGGACAGTGAACTGGCCCCTGTTTAAAAAGTTTGAGGACCCCTGTTTTAGAATGTTCATTAGTAGTCCAGTGTGATTTGATTCAGACCAACAAATATTTCCTGAACACAGACTGTTTGTCAAGTATCCTGCTGGGTGCTGGGAAAACAAAGATGAATAAGACATTGTCCAGCATGTAAGGAGTTCAAGTTTGTAGGAGGAGGAACAATAAAAAATGAAACAGTACCTGGGACACCATTGGTAACACTCCTCAACATAAACAGTGCTTTCTTTTTTCATTGGTTGCCCTCCCTAGCCCTTCCTTCCTCTTCCCATTCTTTTCTCCTGTTTTCTTTGTCAGAACCCCTTAGTTTGCCCTGGATATTGTAAATGTTTTATTCCTGATCTAATATGGTTTTAAAATACTGCTCCAACTGTTAAGGTCAATCTAATGATTTCAAAATGGAGAGGGACAGCTGATGTTTCAATGGACAAAAAATGGGCATAACAGAAGAATTTTTTTTTAATTTGTAAAGATCTTGAGTCCCAGTAATTGGAGGCTACTAAGGGGTAGTTTCTAATATATGCATTCTTCTCCTGAAGAAAATTGTTTCAAGCTTGGATTTGGTTTTGGTTCAGTTTCCTTTATTTGGGCAAGGGGTGAGGGTTATTGGGCTTTTGCACAGTAACGCTCCCAAACTTCTCTGGATAGCCCAGAGAGAAAAAAAAAATGAGAAGTAAATAGCTCTATTTTATTTTTCCACCAAGAAGAAAGGGCACCATGGGAAACTTCTCGCCCAGTCCATCAGGGCATATTATCATCTCTGGTTCATGGTCCTCACTTTGAGGGGTAACCACTTCCTTTCAGAAGCATAAAGAAAACAAAATAAAGGTGGTAGTATTCTGAAGTCAGGTCTTATAACAGAGAATTATCAATTAATGTGCTAAACAAGAGCCAGCCTAGCCCTGGCCAGTGTGCTCAGTTGTTTGGAGTGTCCTGTACACCAAAAGGTGGTGGGTTCAATTCCCAGTCGGGGCACATGCGAGAGGCAACCGATGGATGTTTCTCTCCCACATCAGTGTTTCTCTCTCTCTCTCTCTCTCTCTCTCTCCCCCTTCCTCTCTCTAAAATCAGTTCTTTTCATGGTCAGTCTATTTGTGACAACTCCCAGACATGGCATCCCACAGCTTAATATGCTCTAGTTAACTGTCACCTGAAGAACCCTCTGCCACCAACGTCCAATTTTCATTGCCCATCTGGAAGGAGGGATCTTGGACTCTCACAATCCCCCAAATTAAAAGTCTCTACTCTCATGACCCTGCATTTTGTTTTTTCTCCCATTACCCATTTAACTTATAAAAGCCTATAGTAGAATTGCCTCCTGATCATGATGTGTACTAGGAAGACAGTGCCCACTAACCATCCACCTTCTTTTATGGTGCTCTTGTCAAGTTTCTACCATCCTTGTTATTAGTTCAATTGTGTCCCCCAAAAAAGATATGTTGGTGTAATAATCCCAGTACTTCAGAATGTGACTTTATTTGGAAATAGGTTCTTTACAGAGGCAATCACATTTAAATGAGGTCCTTAGGATAAACTAATCCAGTATGATTAGTTATGAAGGAGAGCAAACCAAGAGATTGAAGAAATGGACCATGGGGAAGAGACATCATGGGAGAAATCCCTGGTTAACCATCTACTTCTATGTGGCGAGCGGTGGCCCGTGTGCTAGATGTGTGTGGACTGCCGCATGAGTGCAGGGAAGCCCTGAAAACACCGGCTGGTCTTAAGCGTTTGAGGAACTACAAATTACATACTGTGACAAGGAAGGAAGCCACAAGGCCGCAACTGTGGGCGGGCCCCTCTTGTGGGCAATTGGCTGGCAACTGACGCCCAGCTAGAGGCAGAAGCCAGGATTAGAAAATTAAAGAAAGAACTGAAACTAGACAAAGATATTAGAGTACCTACAACTCTTTTAGCATCGGGACGGGCTGATGGAGATGAAGAGCAAAACAGCTTTAGCTTGTAGCTTTGCCAAACGCAGGGCGCAGGCTGCCACGACTTAAGGTCCATGGCTTGTGACTAAGCCAGGTTGGGCCAAATCTCAGCAAAAGACCCGAGAGGGTATTTCTGCCTGGCTAGTGTAGCTTTGGGACACAAGGGGAGATGGAATTTCTCTAACGGGGCAGAAAGCAGGAAAAAAATGAGTAACATTACTGCGCACTCTGCCCTTTGGCAGTGGCTGCATGGTGCCCTAGAGATCATTCTGTCCTGCAGGAAGGCCTACCCCAGCGGTTCTCAACCTGTGGGTCGCGACCCCTTTGGGGGTCGAACGACCTTTCACAGGGGTCGCCTAAGACCATCGGAAAACACATATATAATTACATATTGTTTTTGTGATTAATCACTATGCTTTAATTATGTTCAAATTATAACAATGAAATTGGGGGTCACCACAACATGAGGAACTGTATTAAAGGGTCGAGGCATTAGGAAGGTTGAGAACCACTGGCCTAGCCAAATGAGGGAGCTCTTCATAGGCAAGTGGATCATTGGAAATCTATAGAAGGAGTACAGCAAATTCTTAGAGAGATGGGCATGTACCAGGCGTTCTGTGCTCCGGGGCCACTTTTACTGCAGGAATGAAAGCAAAGATTCTGCAGAAAGTCCCTAGTACACACCTATCTCCATGGCTGTGGTAGGCAGTTAGACAGACATGAGCAGAGCAAGGATGATGGACCAGGTATAGGTCACCAGGGCAGAGAGCCTGGGTGCCCAGCAAAGGACAACTGTAGGGTGGGACTTTGCTCCCTGGGTGACCTTTCCTTCCCTAGCTTATCGCTGGTCATATGGTTTAGATCCTCTGACCCTTCCTCCCTAGAAATAACATCTAGGCCTCAGTTGTATTTCAGCTCCAGGCCCAGATAAGCAACAAAACCAGCCACAGCTGACCTCAGGACCAGTTGCATTGAATAATGACCCCCTCCCTGGTGCTAGCCAATCAGTCAGTGGAGACCACAAGCCTGAAAGGACACACCAGGAAAACTGCTGAATGTTCTATGGAGATCTTCCCCTGGGGCCTCCCCTAACATCCCCACCCTTCAAACCCTTAGCATAGAGGACCCAGTGTACTCTCCAGGGAGCATGCCAGCACCTTTTTCTCGCCCTTCCCACCCCCTGCCCCAGGTGCTTTACCCTTAGCTTCCTCATTCCCAAGCTCCAAGGGCCCTTCCTTTACCTCTGTAACCTGTTTCCTAAGCTCACTTTTTCTACAGATTACCTCTATCTGTGATTTTACAAATAAACGTTCTCTTAGAGTTTGAGTCTTGACTCTGAATTCTTTCCTAGCCAGAATTCAAGTACTGAGATTGCTGAACCAAGGTCCAGTGTGACCCTACCAGTCTAACACTCAGAGCCATTATCACTGCCTACAACAGGACAAGATATCTATGATGTCAGGCAATCTATTGCAGATTTGGGGGAAACCAACCTGTCTCAAGATTGTGTCTGGCCCTAGCTGGTTTGACTCAGTGAATAGAGCATTGGACTGTGGACTGAAGGGTCCCAGGTTCAATTCCGGTCAAGGGCACATGCTCAGGTTTCCGGCTCAATCCCCAACAGGGGGCATGCAGGAGGCAGCCGATCAATGATTCTCTTTCATCATTGATGTTTCTCTCTCTCTCTCCCCCTCTCCCTTCTGGTCAGAAATCAATAAAAATGAATTTTATTTTTTTTAAAAAAAAGACTGTACTCTGGGGATGACTCAAAACTCAGAGACAAAGA